CCACCTTCGAACACGGATTCTGTCAGACGAGCATACCTGGTCAGACCAGCATACCCTTAGTGAATACCTGTTTATCCCTTTAGTATTGCATGAAAAATAGACATTAAATTGCCTTAACGGGCATGTATCCCTTTAGTAATGTACAAAAAAACTATTTGATTACTCACTTTTTGGTGTTTTTTGAAGCGTATGGCTTTTTGACCTTCAATTGTTTTCAGTGATGGGAGTAACGGCGTTAAAAGTAACGGCGTTACTAACGCCGCTACCTTTTTTTAGTAACGAGTAATCAAAATTATTACTCTTACTGTAACTATAACGCAGTTACAATTGCCGACACCCCCATACTGCACGTTACTCAGGTCGCACAATTAACCTTTTTTCATGACTCCATGACTCCAGCGGCAAAACAGCACTTTCCAGATGGAAATACCGGTGTTACGTCGAGCTGCGTTTCCCCATCAGATACGGTTTCCCCTGCATCTCCGCACAGCGCGGCGGCACGATTCACCGTGCAAGCGACAGGAAACGCACATGCTCGCTGAAGCCACGTAACAGCCGCCCTGTGCTCGCGCCACAGGGGAACTACGGAGAGCGTGAACGATCATTAGCCTATATGGAGAGGGATGGATGGATGGATGGATGGATGGATGGATGGATGGATGGATGGATGGATGGATGGATGGATGGATGGATACTTTTATTTTGGAGTAACTCAGTTACTAACTCAGTTACTTTTTGGGAGAAGTAAATAGTAACTATAACTAATTACTTTTTCAAAGTAACGTGCCCAACACTGATGACAAAAAAGGGATACACGCCCATTGAGGTAGTTTAAAGTCTATTTTTCATACAAAACTAAAGAGATAAACGCAAATCTGATGTCTTGTAGATGCGTATTGACTATGGGTATGCTGGTCTGACGAGGTATGCTCACCTGATAGAACAACGGTGGTGCAGCTTCATGCTGTAGGGATGCTTTGTTTATATTTAACCTTTTTTTTTCCACATACCAACTCTCTGTACATTGTGTTAGCCCATTAAATAAAATCCCAGTAGAACACATTTTTAAGGCACTATAAATACTAGTATATTAGAATACCTTGATGGTGGCTCCAGGGAAGAAGAGCCAGTTGGCTGTGTCCAGGGGATCCAGGTTGTCCTCGATCAGGGGCACTCTGTGGGCAGAATTTACCAGCAGCACATTGTCTAGCCCCCAACAGGACTCATATCCTTCAGGCCCGTGGGGGGTCTCCTGAGACCAGCGGAGACGGATGCCTTCGCCTCTGGAGGAATGCGGGAGCGGAACCAGATGGATGACGGTGCTGCTATTGGTAGGAGCTCTGAAATAGAGGAAAAAAAATATTAACATGCATATATTTTATGGTATAAAATGGTAAATAAAAAAAACTAATCATGCATCTGGTAGTTGATATTTTTAAAGGAAAGCAGATCAATTGAGACCTAACATCACATTGTAGTGACTAAACATAATTATTTTACAACACCTGTTTAAACAGGAGAGAAATGACGAATTAAAAGGGGGGAGTTGTGAAAAGACACAGATGGATGGACTGTGTGTGATGGATGAGGCAGGCAGAAGGAGAGAACAGAAAGAAACTGACCTGATCTTTTCCAGCGTGATCCAGTCATCAGAGGTGTTTGCATTGCCACTCAGGCTGTATGACACCGTGATGCTGGGATCAGAGTAACTGAACCGGCAGGAACCCGAGCCTGGGGAAGATACACACGGATAAAACGGCCCTTAGGTTGAATAAAGCAACAAACGAAAAAAAACACAACAGCAAGAAAAATAAACTGATATTGAAGAAGAACCTGAAAGATGGATGTTTTTTTTTTCTTTGCCAGGCAGCTTGGTGAAATCTCCCGTTCTTTACTCCAGTATCTAACTGAGGGGTTAAAGTGTACATTAATAGTAAACTACTGTCACAACCAGTGTTATATAGTAACAAAGTAAAAATACTTCACTACTGTACTTAAGTATATTTTGGAGTACTTTATACTTTCCAAGAGTATACATTTTTTTGGGAACTTTCACTTTTTATTTTACTTAATTGCATACTTTTACTCCGATACATTTTCAATGTTTGGTTTAGTTACTAAGTAAAAAAAAAAAACGAGCGAGAGAAACGCAAGAGTTTTAGATTAGATTAGATTAGATTAGATGAGCTTTAACGATCTCACAGCGGAGAAATTCACTTGTCACATATTGGCATAGAAGTTAACGAAGAAGGTGCAAACAAGGGGGAAAAGGTGCATTAAGAATAAATAAACAATATATATATATATATATATACAGTATATCCAGGTATATAAGGATTAAGGTGCAAGTGTACCTGTATCGCACACAATGAAAAACAAAATACAAATAAGAAATAAAGAAACAAGAAATAAAAATATGTACAATCTGGATGGCTTATATACAGGTGGATTTACTTTTACGTTGAAGTGTAGTATGTAAGGGGCAA